TTGTCGCTAACTGGCTACAGAATCTCTCCCCTGAAAGGCTTCTTCATTCGTCAAAGTATTTTTCTTGAACCTTGGACCGACTAAGGTTAAAACTGATAAAATAATATTTTTCTGTGGCGATAAGTTCAAGTGTTTTAGCCGATATCATATAAATTAGTAATGAAAGTTTTTTCTAAACCTGAAATGCATATAATGGCGGGGGTTTAATGTAAATAATCGGTATCGGATACCGAAAAGGAAGTATAGGGTACCGAAATCTTTTTTAAGTATTGGGTACCTAGTATTGGGGACAATTCAGCACATCAATAGTCGCCCTCATTCTCGCCGCTCTCAGTTGTCAACTCTACGATGACGTCACGCTAAAATTACTCTCACGAATTCTGCTGCAATCGGCGCAATCTTGTATTCTATCATTCTTGAAGCATACCGAAACAACGCGGTGTTAACGCTGAGCGGTTGGAAAAATCCGATTTTGACAGGGCGTTAGGTATTGAAGTTGGCTGCAGAAAACGGTGAAACTGTCATTTTCGTGTGACACACAAACAAACCTATGCTTATTGTTGGTGTTATTTCTGCATTTGACGTAGCGTTGACGCTTTTTTTAGGTATGGCACTTCGGCGCTAGCGCTAGGCGTCAAAAACCGCTCCGTCCAACGCTTTTGTTTAGGTATGGCAGTAATTGCCAGCTGAAAATTTCTCAGTTTAGTGCTTGGTAACGCAGCGCGGCATTGCGCCATTCCGCTGAACCGAGGGTGGTGCTACTGGAGCTGATACAATAATTTCCAACACGGTGGCGCTGTGGCGCCAGTAACGCAAACAACGTAAAATATCGAGAAGCGCATTTAACAGAGCCCAAAGACAAAAGAAATTTAACAGAAATTTTCTCATCAATGTAAATGGATTTTTGGTCTTGTTAGACAACGAAATGCCGATGGCTTTTCGCATTTTTGTTGAATCAATTTTTATGCTTCAAACTGGATAATTATTTAAAATAAATGCATGCTCAAAAGCCAGAAATCATTCTTGCTATATATGTACACAATTATATTAAAATTATATGCAGAGCTGGCCCCAGACATATTTCTAATCTCTGTTTCTTAGAGTTCGGAATTGACTCGCCTGAATTCAAAGAAGTT